CCTGCATGGAAGGAAGGCCTCCTTGTACCATCTGCATCCTGCCACTCAAAGCCCAGCCCTTGGCATGGGCAAGGTGCCAGGCTGGCCACTTCATGAGCTGACCATAAGCAAGCCTAATGTGCCACAAAGTCACACAGACACAAAGCAAGGCCTGGACTTCCAGGAGCAGCAGCTCCCATTCCTCAGCCCCAGCCGCTGTAGTGTGGCTCCCCACTACAAAAACCCCTTTGACTGTATTTGTATGGACATAACACCACAGAGCAACCCTGCTAATTTCACTGAAAATAGGTATCAGTTATAAGGGAATGTTCACTGCCCTACAACTTCACATCCTAGATACAGAGTTCATCATTTCTACCAGAGACCACTTTAAAGAAGAGTTGGTACTATTAAGCTGCATGAATATTTCTCTCTGAGGTTTTTGTTCAACACCATCTTTAATTTCTGTTATCTTTTGAGATAATGGATTTACAAGTATACAAGATGTAGAGTACTGGAAATTGAATGAAAGGAAGGAAAAATAGGAAACTAGAACTTGTAGCTTTCAAGATCAGATGGATTCTGATAGTCATTTGGTATATTTCCTATCAAATGGATGTTGCCAGCCCACAGGATACAGTGGCATGCTTTGTATACATTACCTTTCACCTCCCTCACCCACATACTGCAAGGAAGCTGTGTTCTAAACAATGTATAAACTAACAAAAACCACACTAATCTTTTACATGTTTTTGGCACTCGAAGCATAGATAAATCACTGTGTCATAGCCTCACCTATAATATCACTTACAAAATAAATCCAAGCTCAGCAGGAACACCAGATAACTTGTCCCTTAATTACCTTTTAAAAGCTAATGGTTCATTTCAGAATATGATTTATTTATTTTATTTTTCAGCCTGCCTTGTTTCAAATGGGTACTGTCTGACTGACCTCTAGGTACCCTTGCATTTGCTCTGTGATATCCCCAGAATGTCAATGCTTTGATTCTTCCTCTTTCATTTCCCAAACATTTCTTATTGGTCACTTCTGGTAGTGGTGGCAGCTGAAGTGGAAGTTTGTCTTCTGATAATCTGTACTGCTTTAATGGTTCCCAGCATCCTGAGGATATTTTCCAAGTGTTATGGTGACACCAGCTGAGATCTTGGCAATAGAAAAGTGTTTCACATGTTTATTTCCTAACTTAGTCTCTTGTGGTTTTTTCTGCTTTCCCAACCCTCTGCATCCCTTGATTTCTATGGCTTAACACCTTTTGCTATTACTGTGTTCTTAGTTATCACTTCTCAATATCTTTCTGATTAAAAAGCCTTTGAGAAACCTGAGGGCATTCCCATTATGCATCCAAAAATCTCTTGATAAATTTCTCCAAACCTTCAAATCACATTTGTCTAAAAGCTGAGCAAAAATCCCCTCTAAAAGGAGAAACAATAGTCACATTTTTATATATATATTCCTCTGTACACTAGAGTCTAGGAACTATAGCACATAAACCTTGTAAAATGATAGCATGTTTCAAACAATTCTAATACAAAATATGACACATAAAACAGGTCACTGGTTTTAGCATGTCTTCAAAATAACATATGCTTGAAAATGCTTATCCTTGTAGCATCACTATTCTCTTTTTTCAGTGAGAAAATGAATCATGCAGTAGCATGCCTGAAAAAGCAAAATTCTCACATAATTTCTATCACTCACTCAGTGTGTTCATGACTTTTATACAGCTGACTGAACATTTATTATCTCACGTGAAAGAGAAGCTGTGAGTTTGCTCACCTTTGTCACCTGCAGGATCTTTGAAATGCCTCCTCTCCTGTTTCTTCCAAAGAGTACGTTTCCGCATCTCCCAGTCCATCCCCGAGTCCAGTGAACATGCAGACATCAATAAGTTCTGGCTAAGTTATCCTACGTAACTCTGAAGAAAAAAAGACAGACTTGCAGACGCTGCAGAAGGTCTTCTCCACTCTCTTTGAAAATTTTGTTTTCTTGGTGGTCTGTCACAGTCAGGTCTCCGGTAGTAAACTGAACAACCTATCCTCCTGGCTCTTCTTTTCTTCTTTTTCTTTTCTGTAAACACATAATCAGGGCTTCAAATCCTTTAGGCATCACAAACTGTATTTCTCTATTGCCCTCTACTGACTGCCGGCTCACGCCGCCTTCCCGGAGAAGCGGCGAGCAACAGATCCGCGCTACGCGCTCCCCGCCGCCCTCCCCCGGATCGATAATGATACACGATGACCAAAAGTCAACACAAATCATTCTATTTTTTCCTTTGTTACAAAACACCAGGCAAGATTTACAGCCTCTTGGCCAGCCGTGGTAGCTACAAAACGCTAAACAACAGAAGCGGGAAGCAGTTTGTAACACGGCTCTGCTAACGTGGGCTCTTTTTTTGGCGAACAAAAGCCAGGAAAAAGTAGAGACGAAAGCGTTCTGCCTTGAAATGAGGATGAATCCATCCCACTGATGCCATAAATACTGTGCCGGGGATCTGAAGGCTGTCTGGTTTTAAGGGTTTGGTCCTGCCAGCAGTGGATGCACAGAAATACTGCCTTGTGATGGGAGTTCTGCAGGAAGGGGCTGGTAGAGAGCCATGGATTTGGGGCCATGGGTTTTGGCCATTTCCCCTTTGTCTCTAGTGCTTTGTTTAGCACATTCAGCACCACACCTAGTATGGGAAAGCCTCATATGATGGGACCCAGGAAACACATCACCCAGGCACATCACCCTGAGTGTGGATGGCACTGGGAGTGGTTGTCTGCCCTGCTTTTTAAACAAAGATTATCTATAATGCTAAGAGAATCCAGCCAGCTAAGATTAAAAAAAAAAAAAAAGGAATGGCGCAGTGTTGTCTCAGGAGCAGAAGGACAAAAAAGTGTACAAGCATTTCAGGCAGACTGGAAGACACTGAGAGAGAAAGCAGGGATATAAAGAGTGTAAAAGTGAAGGTGGAGGGGGGGGGAGAATATAAATCAATCTTTTGCATTGTGTTAGTCACTGCCTAATAAGTACAACACATGCTGGTTAATCAGGTCACTCAGGCACTTGTTCTCAGAAGGAAAAGTGAATCCACAGTGCTGGTGCAGATGCTCTGGCCCACCTGCACCACTCCAGGGGCAGGGAGGAGTCGGGTCCCAGCTCCAGGCAAAAGAAGAAATCCCTAGCACATTTCCCTTTATCTAGGCAGCAGCTGGGAAAGCACTATCTTGCCTCACCATTCTTCCTCCACAAACAACTTCCCTGGGGAACAAACCTGCTTAAAAAATTATAGACACAGACCCACACCCCAAAAAAGTGTTGGAATTATTTTTGTTTACCTGTGTTCAAAAAGTACTTTCACTTTCCCTCACCAGTATTAATAAATGGGAATGTTTCTGTTGACTGATGGACATTGGTTCTGTTTTGAATAGATATAACATGACATCTCTCCTCTTCCACTCAGAAAAGGTAGGAGTATACTCTAGGATCAAAAAAGCCAGAAACAAAGCAATGAAAATGTAACATTGAAAGGTTAACTGAAAAAATTAGTTTCATTAAAAAATAGACTCAAGAGAGGGCCTAATTGTACCTATTATGAACATTTAATTAACAAGTCCAGATTTATTGACTGTGCAGTAAACCTGTCTTAAAGGAAGCCTTGAAATGTCTTTTTCCTGTTGCTTTTCTATTTTTAAAGCCCTTGGCTACACCATATCAGAAAATAAATAATTATATTTATTCAAATTCCTTGATAGACTATTGAAGCCTGCTCAGCTGAATACCTCTCCTAAATGAACACCATTACCAACAGATCAAAGGATAAAAACGTCTAGCAAATGAGCAGGGCTGAGGGAATTAATAAAACACACATCAAACGGTGAAAGGCTGAGGGTTTGGTTTAGGGGCTTTTTTGGGGGTTGCGGGGGAGGTTTTGGGGGGGAGGTCGTGGTTTTGGTAGGGGTTTTTGTTGGTTTTGAGGGGTTTTTTTGGTTTGGGTTTGGTGGGGTATTTTTGGTTTTTTTGTTTGTTTGTTTTTGTTTGTTTGTTTTGTTTTGGTTTGGTTTGGTTTTTTTTTTTTATTGGAGGACATTTGCAGAGTGATAAAGTCTGCAGTCGCCAAAATGCACGGAAAAGGCACCCCCAACAGAGAGCAGTTCATGACTTTTATGCAGCTGACTGGTATAAGTGACAGATGAAGTTCAGCACTGCTGAGCATCGGGCGGATTTCTGGAGCGGCTGCTGCACATCTTTCACCTGACAAGCCCTCACAGAGAAACGCGTGGGGTTCGGAGTTTGGGATTTTGGGTTTTTTTTTCACAAAATCACAAAATTGTTACGATTTGAAGGGACCTCTGGAAATCGTCCATCCAGGGTGCCCTGGAGCAGGTGACACAGGAACGCATCGAGGTGGGATTGGCGTGTCTCCAGAGAAGGAGATTCCATGACCTCTCTGAGCCAGCCTAAGCGCTCTGCCGCCCTCAACCTAAAGCACCTCCTCCTCACGTTTTTTTTTTTTTCCCTAAGGTAAAAGTTTCCTTTCCTACCGGAGAAACTTTTCACACGGCGGGGACACAAGCGGCGGGTGTCGCGCTCAGAGAGGGCTCGGCTCCCGCGGCCCCTCAGGCGGGCCCCGCTGCCCTCCGGCGCCGGCCCCGGCCCTGCCCTCGCCCGGGCCCGCCCCAGCCCGGTACCCTGGTGCAGCGGCCGCGGAGCCGCCGGGGCTCGGCCAAGCGCTGCACATCGCCCGCCTTCCCTTCCCTCCCTTCCCGTCCTTCCGGCGGGGCGGGCGCTCAGCGCCATGGGGCGGCGGCGGCTGCTGGCTTCGGCGGAGCAGCTGGCGGAGACGTGCCCGGGAGAGGCGCGATTCCTGCTGTAAGGAACCGCGGCGGGGCCGGGCCGGGCGGTGCGGGAGCCCGGCGGTGACGCGCGGGATGTCCCCGCCCGTGCCGGCGGCCGCGCCCTGACGCTTTCCCTCTCTCCCGTGCAGGTGGACGCTCCGCAGTTCCCGAGGCGAGTGAGGGACCCGGGCGCAGGCGGTGGAGCCGGGGCCGGAGGAGGGGGCTCCGGAGCCGAGCGCCCCGTGAGGCCGGCGCGCTCCAGAGGAGGCTCCTGGCGCGGGAGAGCAGCGCAAGGACAGGACAGGAGCATGGGAATGAATGCCGGCTCGCCCGTTCCCTCCCTGTGCCCCTTGCCCTGCGCTGCCCCGGCAGGGCCGAGCCTCGGGGCTGCCGGCTGCGGTGTTCAGCTCGCCAGGAGGCAGGGCCAGGGGGCCCTCGGGGGTTTGGGGAGAGGCGCCCGAGTCCGGCTCCGGCTGCAGGAGACAATGAGGCAGATGTCAGGAGTGAGCCTCCTGTTGGGTCTGAAATTTACCTCAAAGTGTTTCTCTGACATTCCTGAGGTCGTGTCATCTTCTCACACTTAAAATGGGCAAAGAGCTTTCCGAGGCTTTGGTGTTGCTGATCTGGTAGAAGATTGTGCCTACATGGCAGAATTGTGAGCCTCCTTTGCTATTGATTTTTGGGAAGGAATTGCATTTTTTCAAGAAAATCTACAGTTAGATATTGTGTAAACTTGTGCCAGGCATTAGCTTAGTCTGAATTGTGCTCAGCTGAGCACATTCTGGTGCTCAGCTTCCTCTTGTGTTCTAGTGTTACCTTAAACACAAAAACACGTAGCTAGGTAATGTTTACATTGAAACACACAATTTTAAAGTTTGCTTATAAAACATAGTTATTTTATCCTTTTGCCTTTACTTATCTGTAGGTAATGAACGTGGATTAGAAAGGATATGTCCTTACTGCTTCCAGTTCCTGGTTCCTGACAGCTACCGAGTGCGCCTCAAACCAAAGATGAAAGTGACTCCACAGATAGAGAAGGTCCTTAAACAAGAGGCAAAGAATCATAAGCTTAACATGAAACAGACAAAGCTTTTGAGAAAGTACAGGGAGTCAAAAAGCATTCTGGTAAGGACAGTTATTTGACATGTACACGATATTTCCCTAAATTTCATGTCCCTGTTTCAGTGGCAAAAAAAAGAAGATAGAGAAATCTTTCTCTTAGAAGAGGAGCCCACACGTTTCTTTTTCACGAGCATAAGACTCTTTCTTTTTGGAATAACTTCTATGCATAAATGACATTTTTAAAATTTACCTCCCACAACAGATAGATCATGAACCCAAGACCAGTAAGCTTTTCTGTCAAAAAAATACCTTGTGACCCCAGATGTTAGAGAAGCTACACAAACATCTCATGTTCCTTTGTTTCAATTTATCACTTGTTGACCAAATATGTTTTGACACAAGCTTTACTTCATGTGTTTCACTAGCCTCTCATAGCTACATCAGATTATTATTGCCATCTATATTAATAGAATTTTTTACTTTTGTCTGAATATTACTGTTTATAGAAACTCTTTTAAAACTAAACTACAGAGGTAATTTCAACAAGTTGATGTTTTTCTTGAGGCCTCAGTTATTTTTCCTAAAAGTACTCAGGAATGTGACATTTAATTACTATTGGAAGAAAATAGTAAACATTTAATCTAGTGTTGCCAAGGTAGGTACTGTTTTTAAAACAGGTTATGTGAATGGTTGTTGTAATAAATGAGACTGCACCCTATTGTGCCCAGCAGTTGCTGGCACACTTGGAATTTTCTTGCATAAGAGTCTTGTGGTTACAGGAGTAAATTTTGTGAAACCAAAAACTATGTAAGAGTCAATTAAAAATTTTAAACTGAAGAATATATCACCAAGGTTTTTGGCTGTCAGACCAAAATAAGATGCTTCATAAAGGCACTCTCCCCGAATTGTAGATCCAAGTTGAGCTTCAGAAAGGACATCTGAAAAGGTTTTTCAGCCAGAGGGTGGTTGGGCAGTGGAACAGGCTCCCCAGGGGAGGGGTCACAGCACCAAGGCTGACAGGAGTTCAGGAAGCATTGGGACAACACTCTCAGGCACATGAGGCTGGGATTCTTGGCATGTTCTGTGCTCGGCCAGGAGCTGAAATTTGGTGATGCATGTGGGTTCCTTCCAACTCAAGATGTTCTGTGATTCTTCAAGCTGACATGTTTGCTTTATTTTTCTGGTATCCTGAATGTTGAGGGTACATTAAGAACTGTCCCTTTAAGCAACTGATGAACAGAGCAGTGTCCTATGAAATGATGATGGGCTCTTAGACTTACTGTGTAGCTGCAGAGCGTTTGTTAGGGACACACTGTGCATTCATATGAGTAGTTTGAAATTCAGTTTAAATAGGTCCAGTTTAAACTCTGGGTAATATTTTGATCTTGGTATGTAATTACAGACTGCTGTACTTGTGCTTTGTTCAGTTTAAATTTGTCCTGTGGATTATGATTTAAGTGTTTCTTGTCTTAAGTCTTTAAAAATGCTGTCAGCAACTGGCAGCTTTCAAAATTAGCAATGTAGATCCCTGTAATCTAATACCTGAGACTTGTGCAAATGAAAATTCCAGTGTGGTTGAAAATTAATGCAAGCAATAATGTGACGGGTTGTACCTCTGAGAACTTTCTTAGCAAGTAGAACTTGATTTTAGATTGCTTCTGGCATAGAAAGGCATATAACATAGGGACTGTTTCAAGGCTTTGAAAATTTTTGGAGTTAACTGCTGATCCATTTCAGGGAATGGAAATTAGCTGTGAAGTGCTATGAGTAATTCCTGCATTGTAAAGTGGTCACCTCCATTTATATTGCACACAGTGCTAAGTCACCATGAATGGTTGTTTCCCACCTGAATTTCATTCAGAAGAATTTAAAAATATGTCAATACCTGAGCACTAAAATAGTTGATGCTATTTCTTCTTTTTTTTAGTTTGTTAGGCTGACAAAATATAATGTCTAGAGGAAGTCAAAACACTTAACTAAAAATGTTTCATTTCAGCATCTCTAAATGAAATTTTTAATAAAGTATCTGAATTTACACATGTTGAAATGAAGAATGATTTGGTGTAGATGTTTTCAAAACTGCTTAGACGTTTTTGTGACAGTCTTTTGAGTATGTTATTTTTAACCAGAAGCATCACAGAACTGTTTTTCTGTCAGTCTAATTGGTGCCTCAGAAAGCTGTCTGGCTGTATTACTTTCTTATATCTTAATGTGAGTAGTTGCCATGGCAGTGAGGGATTTCAGGAATGCCTGACAGCCTCTGACTGGGTGATGTGATCAGTTCTGATGCACCTCTCAGCCTGGTGTGCTGCTGAAGTTCCCTGCAGCCTAGAGGTACACAGAGAGAAGAGAAAGTGCCCTTTGTTTAGAACATCCTCCTTACTGTACAAAGTACTTTTGCTCTAATACAAAGCCTTGGCTTTGTTCACTGAGACTTGCTGTTTTTAGTAAAATAGATGACTGGGTTTGAGAGTTTGGCAATTTAAATATTGTATCCCAAGATTCCCTGAAAAGTGTGCAATATAACTTCATTGGGGGTAGAATATGCTAATGACTTTAGATGACCCAGAACGTCAAATTTTTTAGCCAAATTCCCAATGTGTAGGAGTACTCCAGTATACTCAGTGTATCTTGTGCACTCAAAATGTGATTTGCCCAGTTCAGGTGCTGTTTCATGTCTTGACAGGGTTGTTCTCTGTATATCACTGTACAGTGTTACATTCAGCAGTATGGATCCCCTGAAATTAGTTTGCAGGGAATTGGAGTAATTTCTAGATAAACCCAGAGGATGTATTTGGTTTAAGAAGCCTGAATTAAAATATGAGTTACAAAGTGTATCTTTGTACTTTTTAGTATCTCATGTTTCACTTAAGCAAATATTTAATTTGTGTCATGGTATTTGGAGAACAGTTTGAATAATTCTTCTAATGGCTTTATAACATAAAGGTGGAAAGACTGAAAGACAGCTTGATACTTCCTTTCTTCTCTCCATAGCTGGTTACTTGCAAATCTTGCAACAAAACAACAAGATATTATGGTAAAAGCAGGGATTTTCTGGCAGCCAAAACACAAAATTGTGGCACTCCAGGTGTCAAATCTAGCCTGAAGACACCAGATGTAAAAATTCAGTCTGCAAAGAAAATGACACCTGTAAGCTGCAGTAGGTTGGGATCTAAAGGGAACAGTCCCTCATCACTTTCCAGGTATGTGTTTCTTTCCTATTTAAAGCAGCCCTTTGCCAAGTAGAGTGTATTAAATCTTGTTGATTTTAGATCAGTCATTTAATAAAGTTTAAATTGATAACTTAGTGTATTTCTTAGTTGGTATGGTTGAGGAGATCAATTTTAACTTTCCAACCTTTAAAATCAAAGACTCTCATTAAAAGCCACTGTGTGCAAAAAATACCCAGTTACATTTGTGTCTTTAATGCAGAATGTCTGCCTAAAATTTGCATGGCAAAGTATTGCTTCTGCCTGCGCACTTGCACATAAAAATACACTATTTCTCTTGGATATTTTCCACTCAAATTATATATGTGTGCTTTCACAGTTACTTTATATTAATTCTTATTTCTCTCCTGTAAGACATTTGAATCTTTTGTTTTTCAGGACACGTGAATCTGGACAGACAACAACCAACTCTGCTTCCAAGACTCCCCGAAATTCCAAATTTCACTTTTCTAAGCTAAAACGGATGCTTGACCTAGAAGAAAAAGAGAAAAACGAGAAGGCAGATTTCAAAACCTTCTTGACTTTACTTTAGTTACATTTTATTTCAAAGTAATAAAGATTACAGCAATAAATATTGCTCCAGTTTTAGTAAATCAACAAAGTGATTTCTTTAAAACTCAAGCTAACATCCTGTACCTTGTGGAAGCATAGCTCATGTTTTTTAGAAGGAAGGTCTGTTTCTAAGGGGAGTGATGGTCTGCCAGAGGGAGAAGTAAAGATAGCCAGTTTAATATGCTTGGGAATCTTGGACATATTTTGCAGTTTCTGATGCCCCAAGAATTAAAAAGCCAGGATTTATCCTTTGAGGAAGCTGATGATGGCCCCATCAGGACCATTAAAGATTATCAATTTTATATTTGGCACAGAGATAAGAGAGGAAATATAAAGTAACTGTTCAAGACTGAGGTTATAGCCCGTCCTGCATATTTCTGCAGTGAAAGTTCTGCACGTGGTGCTTCACATTCTCCCCTGAAAAATAGAGCCAGTTAGTTAAAAGCATTTACTTTCTTGGATGTAAAGGTCTGTATTTTCATTTTCTTTTGCTGATTTAATGAATAGTTTACTTTAAGTGCTTTCAGACTCAGTGAACACTACTTCAGAAATAGGACCAGCAAATAACTTGGTGGACTGGGAAGCAGTCCAGGGTAGGGGAGAAGAGTTTGTTGTAAACTGTACTTAAGAGTCTCAGAAATTGGCATGTAACCTTTTTATATCTCCTGTACACGTGCACAATAACTGAAGGACACACTGCTCATTGTCTCTTGTGTACAGGTAGGATAAAATGAACTGCCACTCTTTAATCAAAATACAAACCTTGGAGTGTTGCCTTTTCCAGTGTAGAACTTGGCATTGATTGACCTGTTGCTGTACTTACAACCCAGTCCTCTGGAAGAAATACTTAGTTTTGTTGATGGAAAATGTTCATTGCACAGAAGTATTTGAAAATATTAATTTTGCAATAAATTTATTAAAAGTACACACATTAGGTACTGCTGTGCTTCCCATGAGGCCAGTGTGAAACCAGCACAGTCATCTGCTGAGTTTTGAGGTGTCCCAACATTAATGTGTTTGTTAGAGCTCATTTCCCTGTTGTTCTTGTTTACAGTGCTTCTTACACAACATTTTGCTGTCTCAAGAGTGCATTCTTCTTGGATAAAACTACAGAGAAGGGATAAAAGACATGGAGGGGGGAGCACAACCAGTGTAGAGAAAGCTAATGGGTGATCTGTCCACAGGATCACAGGAGAGCTTGTCTAAACTGTGCATTTCCAAAAATGTTTTGTGGGTGGGAGGCATTCTGCACACCAAGAGTGTTACCTTTGCAGCATGCTATTTGTTAACAGAGATAGAGCCTTGTCATGCTCCAAACAACATCTTTTTTTCTTTGAATTTACCAGAGTTGTCAGATATGTCTAGGTGTGTTGTTAAAAGGGATTGTTATTGTGAGCTATTAGACTTTATTCTGGGAACAAAGGGAAAGAAGTCATTGAGTATGTGCCTTCTCTTGTTTTACAAGTGTGCTTCAAAATGCTAGGTAGAAATATTCTCCAGTGCTTTTACATTACTCCTAAGCCTTTAATGGAGTGTTCTTTCTGTTAACTGGACTTTCACAGAATTAGTGTATTGAAAGATAGACACACACATGTATAAACATATCTCTACAGATAATATATATAGGTATATACATACCCACACATCAGAGGCTTACATGCAAACACAGACTACACATACATGCAAGTCATGCACTCTCCCCTTCAGGACACATTACCTTCTTGTACTTGATGAAACACTGAAGGCTGCTGGCTGTGAGAGACTTGCTGAGCTCCCCTCCAAACCACTGCCAGGCCACATTACTGGCTTGTGTTTGAAGAGCTGGAAGAACAACTCGAGAGAGGAAATGCCTTCTCTCATTTCAGACTTTGTAAAGTAAGAGCAAGAAGGTCTCTATTAAGCATACAGCCCTGCAAAGAGACATTTGAATTGAGAGTGGGAGTTATTTCCCAGCTCACACAAATTCTACTGGGCAATGGTATGTGTATCACTGGCAGTACTTGTACCACACTGAAAATGTTACAAAAGTGTGTCTTAAAATAATCAGTTCAACTAAATTTACAGTTCTAGACATAGAACCTCAGACCCTTTAACAGACTGCTTTCTCACCAAAAACTGTCACATAGAATACAGGGAGTAATAAACCTCGAAATTAGTATCAAGCATTTCCTCAGCATCATCCCTGAGATAAGATCTTGACTACCTCCTAGTATAGGGAGCAGTTGACATTAAAGCCATTTCTCACCATGAGACTGAGAAGGCAAGCAGGGAACAATAATTTTCAAAGATGTTTTTACAACAATGTTTTATTAAATATGAAAGAGCGTACATACAGGTGTAATTCTGAGGACATAAATTACACAAGGATTACAGGTTCTGTCAGAAAAGCACAATAATGAAACATCTTTACAATTCAAACTTTTCTTGTTAGCTTTTAACAAATAAGTCTATTTCTGTTGCAAACAAGTAATGAGTGCTATTGAACTTTTTCAAATTCCCACAAAAACATCATGCTTAGTAGGGTACTTCAACTATTGTAAATATGAAGTCAGAATTAGATTCCTAAATAACACGATGGAAGAGTTTTACTACTTAATCAAGATAAATGACACACTGAAATAGGAGCTGAGACAAAATTGGTCATTCATTAAAAAAAATTCCACTTCAGACATTATGTTTGAGTCTGCTTTCTTTACTTGCAGGAATAATCACTGTGATTAAATGTAATGAGCAGAACTGGCCTAAACATTTGTAAATGTAACCATCAGATTTTAGACGTGCTGGTTTTCACTGATTTTCCCACTGAAAAAACCCCACACCCACAGATCTATTTCCTTACGTTTCAAAAGGCTCTTCTGCAGAGGGCCAACCAAGCCTATGTATGATTTCCACGTCCTCCATGGTCATCTGCACCGCTGGCTACTGCATCCTTCCTACATATGCGTTTGGGTCATCATCAAAGGACCAAACTGAGTTACCACTGAGATGTGAGAGCAGAACTAGTCTGTGCAAGTCCTAACACAATGGGTTTTTTAAAACTTCAGGTAAGCAGCAATGTAATTTCATCATAATGAAAGCTCTCAATTTGACACTCAGAAGACTACTCGGATAAAATACATAATAAGCATGTGGTTTGGGTTGTGTTGCTAGGGATTAACAGAGGTGCTTTAATATATTAATACAAACATTACAGAGTGAATCAGACAAGCTAGTATTACTGCAGGCTGTGGTCTAATTTCCAAAAGAAGTAATGAAAAATAATTTCTAAGAATGGCAACTTTTGTAACTAAGGACTTCACATTTATTTTTAAAACCACAAAAGTGGGATAGTATTCCTGATATCTTTCAAAACATTCTGCAAAAAACACAGTTTGAGCCTGCAAACACTAGAATATACATACAAGCAGTCCCAGTGACCTCCAAGGTAAGCATTCTCGTATGGCAAAGTGCTGCAGGAATATCTTTGCTTTTTTCAGAGAATGCTTAATAAAAGTGCAATATAGTGAAGCAAATAATCTAATTATTATGACTTTATTATTAGACTAAAAATACTCAGAAATTTTATAATTGTGCCTTTTGTATGGCAGGCATTCTGCATTGCCTAGAGCCAGACCACATTAGAAGAGGTAGGCAGGGTAAGCCCACGCATTTTCTTTCCCAGGATGGCAACACCCCAAAGCAGTTCTGTGGTACAACCCCACCTACAGATAAAACATTGTGCTGCCCAGTCTCACACTTATTTCTGTTTTGACAGAAGCTGACATGTGGTTTGCTTTACCTTTCCACCCAGGCATGTTCTCCCTTTTGTCTCTTCGGCACCCTACCCTTCCCCACCCAGCCTCTTTTCTTCCTGAGATGTCAGAAGTACGTACATTGAGCTTTGGAACCTGAGAATTTGGAGGTATTTTTTGACACTACAGGGCTGCATCTGTACTCTACCATGCTATCTCCTGCTATACTATCACAGTTACAGTATAAATCTCCTAACTACTTGATACCCAATGCCTTTCCCATATAAATAAAAAAACCCCAGCGTACCATTCAGCCATTAATATATGACACTTGCTCTAAGAGTGACCTTTGCCTTTCACAAGCCCTCTTTTCCAAACAAATATTGAGGGATCATTTCCAAAACCCCAGCTATGAAAAACTCCTTGAAGTAAACAATTTCACAGTAAAATAAGGAAAAATATATCTAGAAAATAACACTCTCTCAAAATTAAAACTTATATACAGCAAGAAAAAGTTGAGGTTTTCCTCACTCTTTTATCAGTTCTACATTACCTATAGATAAGCAATGTTATCACCAGGAGTTATGAATAGGAAAAACAGATCCAGTGAAGTAAATGTCATGTTTTTTTTAAAACCTTTGAGAGATCAAGAAAATTCAGCACTCAACTTTATTATTACAACTAATTTCAATTCAGGCAGAAAAAGATTGTTTAAGCTTAATTCCCTATGATTCTGAGTATCCAATATAGATCTTTCAGCGTAGTCTAATAAGCCTTGTCACTGCACTTATAATCACCTCTGGGCATAAATTAAGTTTTCTATGGATGGAATTCAACCATGAACTCACTATTTATGCCTCTAGTTCTATGATTTGTTTTAGAATTCCTAATAGATTAAGCTGGTTTAATATTCACCACAAATTTGGCGCTATTCTTTAGCAAAACTGAGCTTTAACTGCAACTGCAATGCAAATACACGTGTGTAAGAATTTATGTGAGTTTAACATTCTAGAACAGAAATATTTAAAACATTAAAATTGTATCAGAACATTTTCTTATCAAGAATCTACACTGAAAAGATGTTAGTGTTATTTAATTTTGCATATTACACTTAAATTAAAGAAACTAAATATTCTGGATTCAATGTAGTCACAGCTCTTTTTTTCGTATGGAATGGAAAATTGCCACTCAAAACTGAAATTTTTGGACCTGTAGTGAGCTCTGATAACTATTTTGCACCCTCCTATTTGTCAGTCAGAATTTTTTAGGAAATCTTCTACATTGCATGCTATGGACTTCTATGTCAACAGCTTGTATTTCTATCTTTTCAGGCTTTTTCCCTACTTAACTGACGTCTAATTCATAGCAACTTCCATGAGAAAAAGTAACTGGATTGAGATGCCTATGTCCAAGTGTATGTATTTTAAAGAGAGTGGTTATTCTCCATTCACATCCTACAACTATTTTGGTGATTTGCCCTGTAGAAGCCAATAACAAGTGACAGATAACTACCTTGAACAATTTCACTCCAGGACTATTTTGAATTGTTGT